ACACACACACACGAAATCGTCTGCCTCATGAAAAAAATGTAGTTAATATTTGCATAATTTATGATTTATTTTATCCACCCGTGACCCACCCGCAAATAATCAGAATGCATTTAGTCCCCCAGCACCCGTGGATATAGGAAAAGCAAAATATGTTTGCTGCGTAAATCAGACTGACTTACTGAAAATGCAAATTCATTCTCTGCCAGCGGGAGGTGCTTTAAAGCGGGAGAAACAGAGGTTTCCCCGGTAACAGCTGTACTCAAAGCAGCGCTGAGCTCACAAACGCTGCTTTATCAGGCATATAGTAACGGCTGTACACAAAGCAGTGCTGAGCTCACAAACACTGCTTTATCAGGCATATAACATGCAAGATGAAATTAAAATGACATCGAAAATGTTCTAAAGATAGTCTTCCTTCAGAAATACAGTGATATAAAAACACCAGCGCCTCGTTTTGATTTTTAAACGTGCAGTAGCCTAACGTGCTCATGTTTATTCAAGAAGCCTTTTGGAAAATCGGTCAGTTTTGATATTGTGGCAAGCGCCACAAATAAATAAATGTATGGGAAACACATCCCACAGCACAACCACCTGAGCCCAACTTCAGTCTACTCATCACCTTAACTTTAACTGCGTTTGTAGCCGGCGCCATAGCCAGACTGATAAACAAACACAGACCGGAAGTTAACTTCGGGACAGGCGCGTGCCCCTGATGAAACCGTCTATATAAAGCTTGAAGCATCAAAATCGGCATCGGTATCGGTCGATCACCAAACATGTCTGTATTTGTACAAATCGCTGCACAATCATTTAATCCCGAATTCCACAGACTCAAATTGAAAGACATTTGTTTGTGGTTAGTAAGATACATGTATAAAATGTATGCAGTACATGGATAATTGTGCGTGCATCTATTAATCATTTAGAGTCTAATATCATCCCATACGCGTGCCCCTGATGAAACCGTCTATATAAAGCTTGAAGCATCAAAATCGGCATCGGTATCAGTCGATCACCATGACAAGAAATCGGTACTCAGTATTGGCTGCAAAAATCCTGATCGGAGCATCCCTAATAAATATTAATGAAAAAATCTGAAATATTGCTTTAAATTTAAGTTGAATACTAAAATTACTAAAACTTAAATAAAAGTTTAAAATAAATATTTAAAAAATCATATAAATGACAAAATACAAAACAAAATTATCAAAACTTATTAAAACTTAACATATAAATGAAAAGTGAAAATATCAAAATAAAATCTCATTCAAAATATTAATAAATACTATAAAAGTAAATAAATAACGGCAAAAAAATCATTAAATTTTAATATAGTATTCATCAGAATAACATTCATTTCTAGTCTAGAGAGAGAGAATATAATTATAACAAATATTGATCCTGGATCTGTTCTGTAACTTATTTCAGTACGTATTTCATTCTTACACAGTGAGAGACTGTTTCCATTTGGGACTGTGAGTGTTGGTGCATTTCTCCGTCTTCTTCGACTGGCCGTCCACACACACCTCAACATAAGGACTGGGCCCAAACCAGTTCTTCTTACTGTCCCGAAGCTTAGCGGACAGAACTGACAAAAGATGACAAATATAATCACAGACGTATTAAAAGTATTCATCTGACAACAAAATGTTAGGGCTACATCGCAATGAGCGCAAAGAAAAACACAGTCAACAAATGTCTTGCAATAACATAAAATAGAGATCACTTTGTAAAGCTCACCTGTTATCTGAAGCTGAGCCTTCATTGTGTGGCCATTAAAAACACTTGTTGTGGCTCAAATCTGAAATACACAAATAAGTACATAGATCAATATTAATTCGGTTAAGTTTAGGGTTGCAAAAAGGTGGAAAATGTCCAGTAAATTTCGGAAATATTCCAGAAATTTTGGAAACTTTCCAGGATTTTTTTTTGAATATTCCAGGGATTTTTGGACAGTTTCCGGAAAGTTACCGGAAATTTTCCACCCCTTTGCAACCCTAGTTAAGTTTCATCATCACAAAAACTCATGAGCTGAGATAGAAGTAAATAGTGGAAAAGGGTCGACTCACTTCAACAACATGTAACAGCATTTGCAACCTATTTTACTTCTGTAATGTGGAACAATTACGAGTGAAACAGGATATGATGTAATGTTGTCTATGCCAGTGTTTGCCAACCTTTTTTTAGTCGTGGCACCCTTTGGAAATTTTAACAAACTTGTGGCACCCTACAAAATTAATTTTGTCACAATATTTGAATTTCTAACTTTGATATGATAATTTGAAAAGTATAGATATTCGGTAGTAGGGCTGGGTATCGTTCAAAACTTTTCGATATCGATACCGATACCTTGACTTCGATACCGGTTCCTGAACGATACTTTTTTCGATACCAATTTTATGAAATCAATTTTAACAAGATTACATTATC